AAAGGAGACTACTTCTGTAGGCACAAGCAACAAAAATCAAACTTGAATTTTTCAAATTATTGCTTTCTTATTATATGTTGAAAATGTACTCAAAACTATGCAGTTTTGTGTTAATTCAATATTTGAAAAATTTATATCAGTCAGTGAACGTAACTGTGATATTATATGTACATGTACTTTCCTTTCTAGAGGTGACTTTGCTATTAATAGTATTTAATGGTCAGATGATGATGTTAATGAGGTCGATCGACGACAAAATATTAATTAACTCCATTGTATTATATTTCATGAAGTAAATGAATAAATTACATGCATATATACATGCATGCATGGATGCATGAGTGAGCCTGGACAATAATCCAAGCAAATGTCACCCGATGTATGGCAATAAGTTCCATATGGTAAGTTACTGGGGAAATAATATCACTACGTAAGCTAGCAGAATATACGTACCACCAACATAAACATCGTCATGCTCTCTTACTTCCGCGATGACCTCATCAATACTTGTAAACGTTTTGCCATGTATCACACTTTTATCAGTCACACTAAATGCTACAGTCCTGGAGACCTTTGACATCACAGAGGCCACTAATAGAAAATATGGAATAAGTAAATATGGTGTGATGCCTCGGTAAACAGATATTGCTAAACAGTGCTGTGTCAAAAGAGATGGTAGACACTAATAATTGAAGTATACCAGGTAAGACTGGAACGAGTGAACATTACAACTCACGATATGAAAGACCATACAATAGAGGGTCCTGAACAGTGACTTTACTATACCTCGCTATCACATTGTAATTGAAATAAATAAATGACTGTTGTCGATGCAAATGGCTCCAAAAGAAAGAGCAGTGACCTGTAGAGTGTAGCTAGGGGTAAGGAGCCGCGACCAATAGGGACCTTAGCAGCTTAGATGCCTTGTACAAAGACATCGTTCAAATGTACAACAATTACCTGGATCTCCTGGAGGATAAAATACCAAATACATGTTGCTGCGACTGATGTTCCGTCCGAATACGTCCAACTTCAAGTTTTGTGACAGAAGCATAGGCTTAAACGTTGCTGAAAATGAGAGGAGCATAAACGATTGATCTTTTTCTTGTTATCTGTTGTTATTATAGGAAAATATCTGTTGTTATTATAGGAAAATTCATCGGCGACGAGTGCGATATTATTATTTCGAGTGAAATTTATTGCGGAATTCTCGAGTCATCCAATGAATTTTTCTTGAATCCCATATTTTAGAGAAATAAAACAGTGCCAGTCAGTCATTTTGAACGTGCGTACCCGGCGGAAACGAAGCCAGTTTAGTGTTTTCGTTGTTGAATAAAAAAACAGTGGTAAAATTACCCTTCACATCCAAAACTTTCAAGTTTAAGTTGTACGAGTGTATTTGGTTCAAATATTATCGAATTTCCTAGCAAAAAATGTGAAGTAAAAAAGACGAGAACATGTTTGCCGCTGTCGACCATAAACGTAATGAGTCTCAAGAACTGAAAACAGCTTTCTTTAAGCTAAAAGTTACTTACAGAAGCAATTCTGATATGTGGTTTTCGATGATACGTATTCCCCCTTATCACTGTCGCCATACAACAATCTGTCAAAATTAATGAAAGTAATTTAGAGGGTCTTTAGACACTAAAAACTAAACGTTAGGCAATCGAAAAATCGTGTTGTGATTGTGTATACAACCATGCCGAAGTCACAATAAAAAATGCTGATAATACAAGTTCTCGTTAAGGTTTGTTTATGAGAATTATATACTAATACATTGTGCTCGTACTCGCAAGAGCACTAGGCCTAACAAAAGCAGCTAAGGGTTGGTTATTTATGATCAATTCTGTCAGTCACGCAGATCTTCTATAAAGTTGCTGCAAAACTTTGTTAAGATTAAAACTCAGCCTTGCGTGCCACTGTATATACTGACCAGCAAACTTAACAAAGAAACAACAAAAGTATATATAAATTTTATGGATATAATGAAATTTACTAATATATTGATACACTAGTAGATTTTTATCAAGCAGAACCCCGAGTTCACTTAGGTATGAGTCTAGTTTTAATTAATTTGGGGAAGGGGAAGGGGAGGCGGTGGCGGTGCAAGAGGAAGGAAGTCACCGCGTATGCCCTTGCTTTCAATATACCCTTGTAATAGTTTATACTTACTTCGGTATAATAAGAACACAAACAATAGCCAGGGGAACCAGTAATTCGAATGCAGTTCCAAAAGGTCTGCGAATCTAGGTTTTAGAAAATGAATTCAGTTTCAACGATTAACATCATGACACTGGGCACTAACCATTTTGGGCCATTATATGCATAGGTCTTTTAAAAGTCCCATGTTGAGGAAAAGGGAAACCA